CCGTGTCCCCTACTTTTACTCCCTTCCGGACTGCCTCTACGACTTCCAACAGATCGTTGATGAACACCTGGAACAATGTTGGGGACAGCGTGCAACCTTGTGGGACCCCCTGCTCAATGTCGAAGAATTTAGACAGTTCTCCGTCTAGCATGACCGCGCTTTTCGTACACTCTGTCATCTTCTTCAGCACTCTCCACATTTTCCCCTTGATCCCGTATTTGGACAGTTGTTTCCACAACCCATTTCTCCATACGGTGTCGTATGCCTTTTTCACGTCCAGGAAGAAGCAGTACGTCGGCTTTCCCGCCCTCTTTCTACCTTGGATGATTCTCCCTACCGTGAACACGTGGTCTACGCACCCCCTCTTCTTGCGGAAACCTACCTGGCCCTCACTAATGCTATGTTCATTCTCCAATACTCCCACTATCCTATCGTTCAGCAGCTTACATCACACTTTTCCTACTGTGTTCAACAGTGTGATCCCCCTGTAGTTTCCTGGGTCAGTCTTGTCTCCTTTCTTAAACAAGTTCACAACCACTCCTTCCCTCCATCTACTTGGCGTATACTCGTCTTTCCACACCTAATTGTATAGCAGTACCATCAGCTGGATCATCCCCTTCCCCCCAAACTTCATGAACTCGTTGACTATCCCATCCGCTCCTGCTGCTTTGTGGCACTTCAGCCTGTTCACACACGCCTCAACCTCGTCCTCAGTGAACTGCTTTTCTAGTTTTACGTTCCCAACGTCTGCCTTCGATGTCTCTTCTTCTTTTTGGGCCCATGCGTCCACCTCCTTCCTAAACACTTGGTCGAAAGCTTCATTCTCCGAGGGCACTCCAAGTCTCTTGTAGTGTCCTGCTAGAGCTTCCCTTTTTCCCTTCCCACTGCTGACTAATCCACCGTTCACACCTCGCAAAGTTGCTACCCCTGTATCCCCCCCTTGCGCGGTCTTTTTTATAGGGGGGGGATTACATAGAGGAAAATAACGTCCTAGGTCTTAGGACTAGGGGCGGAGAGGGGATGGGGGACAGGTTCTTTGCCGAAAAAAACGGGAGTCGGAAGCGGTACATGCTCCAGGTCATCGAAAGCAAACTTTGTTCGTGAAGAAATCATGACACAGGGGCGGCCCGTGGTAACAATGCGCTATTTGTCACACGCCGAGCTTAGGCTTTTGCTCGTGGGAACACCCCCTCTAAAACGAATGCAGTAGGTGCAGCCTCGTACATGGGGCGGCCACAACTAGCAACCATCACACGAGGTTCCAAAACCAACTCACTGAATCCCTGTCCTCAATTCTCCAAAACCCGGCGCCAATATACAACCCACACCGGAAGGCGAGCGGCCTGGACATGAACAATGTCCTCTCCAGAGAAACGCGCCGAACGAACACCTTCCGCGCCCTGGATCACCACAAATTCCGATTCGTATGATCCCAACAGCAGTGCGCGAATGTCCAAGGCAACCAACATTGCAGCGCACAAAGAGGGTGCACACTACAATGCCGCGTCAGCTTTTCAGAATCGCAACGGTCGTACGGTTGCTTGGGTGGCCAAGCTACGCAAATAGAGAGAGAGGGTGAGAGAGAGAGAGCGGGAGAGAGGGAGAGAGAAAGGGAGAGAGAGAGA